ATATATATATATATATATATGTCATTAATAAAGAGTATTCTGTTCTCATGATGAAAAACAAAGCGTTAGATACATAAGACTTTTAGGCATTTACAGATCATTATCGTTCGTGTTTATTCCGAGCAGTAAAGTGCATACAAAAGAGATACTGTTTTTTTTTTTTTTTGATGAGTACAAAGTGCGCTAGATTAGAAATATGTGATTAAACATATTTTAATACTTTTTTTGAATATGTGTTTTTTGTAACTTTTTATTAGTTTTATGAAAATAGAAATGAATCTTATTAATTGATTGTGATTGATAAATTTTCTAATGATCACAATATATCTCTTAACATAATATATATTTTTATATATTTTTAATATGCATAATTTTATAGTTAACTTTTCTCAAAATATTTTTTTTTCCGTTTTTATGAAATAATTTTTTAAAACATCGGCTTTTTTCTACACAGATTTAAACAAATATTTCTTCCTCTGTAATAATTTTATCTTTTATATTTTTGCTTATATTATTTTTATATTACATTGAAAATAAAAATTTGACAACTTTTTTCTGTATGTTATAAATAACTTTAAACGTATACATTTTTTAACATATAAACAAATTTTTTAATAAAATGATGTCAAGTGTCTTTTAAAGAAATTTTTCTTTAAATTAAAAAATATTTATATGGATTAAAAAAAAAGAATTTAAAAAAAGAAACATAATACAATGAAAAAAATTAAATCCAGAAAATTCCATATATATTTTCTATATCATGTTTATTAGGAGACGCGGTAGCATCAAGTATATTTTTGTAGTACATTATGAATGAAGGGGATAATATCATGTTACGAAAGAAACGCTATCTTTTACAGGAAGGAACTCGCTTATGTAATTAAAAATTATTGTTTTGTTTAAACAAATTAATGTTATAAAAAATATATTTTTTCTTTAGATTATGTTTGTGATAATAATAAGATCGATAATACTTGTACTTTCTTATCACACGTTCTGATAATTACAATGTTGTATTGTAGTATACATTAATATTTTTGTTTTTCTCTTTCGCAAATGCTTTTTTTCCTGAGATCCGAAATTTACGTATTGATCTTTTCTTCAGAGACAAATATTAAACAAATACAGAATATTTCTTGTCTCTAAAGTGCTTTCAAAAAAGTACATTTCCTTGTTGTAAATAAGAGACAATATTGAAACATATTTGACAGCATATTCGATAACACTTATACATCAGTTATATATCATTCAGATTAATCTCTGTTTTGATTAAAAAGTTGAGTAATGTCACATTATCATTCGTTATCATAAGCTGTTTTGGATATAAAAATGAAATGATAGTAATAGCATCGAAAGAATATCGTTTCTTGAACGCAATCGGTTAAAAGGAAAAATGAAGACCGTTATTTTCATCTTGGTACTACTGTGTACAGTTTATGTGAGTTCAATAAATCATATTTATAAAAAGAGAAAAATTTAAATTGCTCTAAATAAAATAAATACTTAGAAAAAGAATATAATAGATTTTTTCGTTTTTTGACCAGAGTCTCCCTAATATTTTTTGAAAGATTGAAAGTTATATCTATTATTTTATAATATCAATTCTTAAATAATTTTTATAATTAAAAAGTATAAGAAAATAATTTTGTTCCGTTTTTCTTTAAAAAAATCATGCGTATCTGATAAATATACATAGTATCTCCGTTTTTATATTTTAATAACAAAGCTTTCATATGTCTTTTTTAAGGCATTGGAGCAAAATGAGACGGATTCTTCGCTCAGTCTCGAGCGATTAGTGGATGTAGAAAAGACAGCCACCCGAACTATACTATACGGTCTATTATTTTTCGAAGAACGAATGTCGCAGAATCTAGAAGTGCACCTTGAAGAAATAAAAAAAAACGCTTTAGATGATATCAACAATACTATTAACGGAGCACTTGAAGATATCAATGTGAATATCAATTATTTTTATCATATATATATTTAATAAAGAAAGACATGTATATGGATTGTACAAGAAATATTTAATATTATAATTACACAACATTTGAAGCCAGCATTACAGTATCAATTTTTTAAATGGATTATGAGAGATGTATACATACATAATATGTTTACATACATAAAATATATACAAACTGCTTTTCTAGCTGTCCATTCACAATGGAGAAGAAGAGGGTAAAAACGTAGACAGGTGTTACTATTATGCGAAGAATAATCTAGAATCGAAAAGGACAAATGCGGTTGCTGGATTAGACGTGTGCATCCAAAACGGTCGCATGGTCATGGAAAGCCCATTAGCAAACGTAATCAGCAGTATTCAGGTAATCAATTTATGAAAATGATAAAATTTCATTATACGTTAATTTACTAGAATCATCCCTAATGAAAAAAAAATTTTTACGGAAACTATATAGATTGAGACAAGATCTTAGAAATTCTTAGATTTTTCGTAGATATTCGCAGTGAGACGCAGAGTGGCGTTATTTGAGGACGAAAGATTTGTAGATTTAAAAAAAAAAACAACGTCGCTCTACGTCCTACTATGAATATATATGAAAAACTAATAATTTCTAAGATTTTGTCTCAATTATGTAATTTTTCGTAAATCTTTTCCACCAGAAATAGAAATCTCTTTTTTCATTGTAATCACAATTTTGAAATGTTTATATTATATAATAATCTCTTTTTAATTTACCGATGTTATAAAATTGCATTTAAATATTACTTTCTTATTAAAACATATACGATCTTTACGTTTTGCGAATTTATAGTTCCTATGCAACTATATCTTTCATCACAAATAATTAAAGGAGTAGATATTGCAATTTATAACACTTTAATTTTAAAATTATCTTTCAAGGCGGCGAAAAAGTTACTAAGTGATTTGGACGCTATCATACCAAACTGTGATTCTACAAGCTTCCTTATAAAGCAAGTCTGCGTCTTGAAAAATCTTTTCTTAACCAGAGAATCGCTGAAAAGTGTCACTAAAAATTCTGGGAAGACGATAATTACCGCGACAGGCACATACGTGAAAACATTTGTAAACGTGAAAAGTTGCGTCGTAAAGAATACTGTTGAGACCCACACTTTTAGCATGAATATCGTTAGTAATACTAATTATTGCATAAAAACTGCATGATCATGAAATCATCTATCGAAGGTCGTCTGATAAGTTTTGAGCCTAACATAGAAACAAGTAATTTTTCGGTCAAAGTCAATTTTGTTTTTCCACATAGTCTCCTTTTAGGTCGATACATTTTTTCCAGCGATGCTCCCACCCCTTTAATCCATTCAAATAATACTGAACGTCTTGTTTTGCAAAATAGGCGTCTACAGATGCGATAACCTCCTCGTTTGATGAAAATTTCTGTCCTCCGAGCCAAACTTTGAGCCTAGGAAACAGAAAAAAGTTGCTGGGGGCCAGATCTGGTGAATACGGTGGATGGTCAATTAATTCGAACCGCAATTCGTGAATTTTTGCCATAGCATAGCGACCGCCGAAGTGTGAGACGATGCGTTATCTTGATGGAACAGCACTTTCCTCTTTTTCAAATGCGGTCGTTTTTTCTCAATTTCTGCCTTCAGCTTGTCAAGCAATGATGCGTAGTACGTCCGTGTTATTGTTTTACCTTTTTCAAGATAGTCGATCAACACAATTCCATGACTGTCCCAAAAAACAGTCGCCATCACCTTTCCCGCCGATAAAACCGTCTTCGCTTTCTTCGGAGCAGGTTCACCCTTCGCAGTCCACTGTTTTGATTGTTCTTTCGTTTCAGGAGTGAAGTGGTGGACCCAAGTTTCATCAACCGTTATTAATCGACGCAAAAAATCCGACTCGTTTCGCTTAAACCGCTCCAACAGGGTCTTAATGTTCATTCAAATGCGTTTTTGATCCAGAGTGAGCAAGCGCGGCATCCAACGCGCGGTTAACTTACGCATGCCTAATTCTTCAGTCAATATATGACAAACACGCTCTTTTGATATGCCAACAGCCTCTGCTATCTCCCTAATCTTAATTCAACGGTTGTCCATTATCATTTGATGAATTTCTTCGATGTTATTAATGGTGGTCGCAGTTGTTGGCCGTCCCGAACGCTCATCATCAGCTAAGCTGGTACGACCACGTTTAAATTCAGCTACCCATCTTTTCACGGTGGCAAATGATGGGGCAGAGTCCCCGTAAACAGCGTCCAACTCGGTTTTAATTTGCGTAGACGTATTGCCTTTCAAATGCAAGAATTTAATTATAGCACAATATTCAATTTTTTCCATTTTTACAAAATGACACAAATGATTGTCAAACAAGAACTGAACGTCCAAAGTGGCCACAATTGTCACATATATCTTTCGTAAGTATCACGATTATAATACCAGAATGGCTTTGAAGAGTAACGCCATCTTCACGATGAGGCTCAAAACTTTTCAGACCCTCGTACTATCTCGAAAGATTCAAATTTCGAAAAAAGACTAAGGGGCCGATTCTGTAACTCTTAACGACAGTCGTTGCGCAAATATTATGTAAAAAAGCTGTGCAGTGACATCAATACGACTGTCGTTTAAGAATTACAGAATCGACCCCTAAATTCAATATGAGCCTATACAATTAATTATTAATTAATTCTTTATTTTTTAATTTACATACTTTATTTTTAATTAAAAGCATTGATTATCAATCTAAAGGCTCAATTGTCTTTAGATCTTTTGTCTCTAAAGTAGACTACAATGTTTTTTGTTCGAATAAAAAATATCTCCCTATTTTTAGCGCTATGTGCTTTTTCCTTATAAATGTCATATAATTAGATTAAACGATTTTTGTATTTACAAGCGAAACAATTAATGTCGCTTCAGATCGTAACTGCATAGTGTAGAAATATTAAAAATAAAAATTATAGTTATACCAGAAGATTTGTATTCGATTAGTTTAATCTTCGCCGTAAACGTATTGATTGTTAGCAATATATTTGTTGCGTAGGGATAATGGCAGTAGTGGGAACAGTAACAGCAACAACAGCGATAGCGGCAGCAATAATAACAATAGTATTATTTATAATTATATTTATCATTAACATACTTCGATAGAATTATACATATTATTAATTATAATCGCCGTGATCATGATTATCTTCACTTATATACACGTGCATACGTATATATGCGTAGACCCATGAAAGCACACTTGACAATGCAATATTTCGCACTATCATATATACAGAGCGTCTCAGAAATCGCGCACCTTCTTTATTGATTCCTCGACAAGTTTAGAATTAACTTTTCCATAACGAAAGCTCAATAGGACTTCATCTTTTACATCTATTATACTGCACACATACCAAACATCTTGACAATCGCATCTTAAATATTACAAATTTTAGATTTTCATTCGTGTGCATCTTGATTTCTTTTTCAAGAGCCCTTTAATTATTAATCATTCAGCAAAGGCTCGATACAGCTAATCATCATTATTCGGCATCAAGTGTCTAGAAGAAGTGCACGATTATTGGGACACCTTGCGTATGCATATATTTCATACGTTAAATTTGTATTTCATAAGAATATCATATATACACAGGGTGGCCCAGAAATAATAGATATAAATAATTGAATTCGATTGTTTTTTGGTAAAGACTCAAGTAGGTTTTATCATTAGGTGTATAAGATCAATTATTGGAGATTTTACCGGAGATTCGCATGAAAGTAATTTGGTGCGTCGACAGAATCAGTGCGCCCGCTGATGGCCACATATAATCGTTAAGCGAACATTGGAACGAAGGGAGGGGATTATGTATTAAAAGCCCCTGGCGAAGTCGAAGTTTTACCAAATTTAATTATAATCCAGAGACTGAGCAAAAGTAACCGAGGATTAACAAAATTACTTGAGACTTGAGTGGCAATTACTGGTACCGCGATGCATAATACTATCGTACTACGTTGCGTACTACTGCGGAAAAGCATGCTTACCTTGCACTTTCTATCTTTCTAGGAAATCGAATCTTAAAACATTTAAACACATCTTGATAGGCGCACAATCATTTCTTTTTACTACAAAAATCTGAAATACAGCATTAATGTAAATATTCCTCCGTATTTCGCACGAACTATGTGAAAGCTCGCTCCCTCCGTCGAAATAAATATCACACGCCGTTTAATTACTGCTCTAATAAGAACTATAGTAGAATTAAAATATTACAAGCGCATACTTATTGATATGGCTATCAGGATATAAAGATTCATTTTTATAACGTTAAATTTTCCTAAGTGGATTATATATGCTGTCTTATTTACAAAATACAGTCTGCGTAGAATTGTTCGATAGACCATACAATTGACGATTAACTCACCGCGCACTTGGGATCCTACTGTTTTATGTACAGTAAAAAATCTTAAAAATCGATGTGCATCGCGGTACAAGAAGAGGAATCTCGTTTCGGGATTTCGCAACGTTTGAAAACTGCAAAAGTATCTTATGTAAAACGCATTACAGATGACACGTTCAGCGGAGAAATTTTTCTAACAATAAATCTGTAACAAATTCTCTTCTTTTTCTTTCTAAATCGAGATGGCCATATAAACACACATCTCTAAGTTTAAAATAATTATTTATACGAACAAAATAACATGTTTAGCATTATACATATATACGTGCGCAACAAGCCAAAATCTTTATAATATAATAAATTTTATATTTCAATATTTATATATATGTATACATATATATATATATATATATATACATATATATAACAATTGAAAATTTTTCCGAATCGGAAACAAAGATTTGAGGAGTTTACACCATGCCATTCGCGTGAATCTCAAACTCGTTAAAACATCTTACGAGACACTACAAAGTATCTTAGTAACTTTATTGTAACTTTATCTTATTTTCGTTCTATTTCGTACGAACCATTTTTACTGACAGCAAATATTCGGTTCTGTCTAAGTATAATAAGCTATATGCACTAGAGCTTCTCTGTAAATGCAATTGTACTTAACAAATTATGAGCAAATTCTTTTATTATAATTTACTAACAGTATACTGCTATCTGTGTTCCCGACCCATATATTATCCTCTCTGGTGCAACAACGACTCCTATATTGTTTAAAAACCTCGAGCTATTATTCTTTCGGTGAAAATTAATCGACAACAAACTATCGAGATAAAAAAATAGAGAAAAAATAGAGTTTATATGTTTCGCCATACCCGATAAGAGAGCATATTACAATTACAATACTTAAAAACGAGATGCGAATCCTTGACTTAAAGAATAACATAGAGGACTTATATATGACAAGTCAAGTCCAGCGGGAGTACATAATTCAAGATTGCGATATTTCAGAGGTCAGGAAGTCGGATAAATGTATCTTACTCCCACACACGTTTATAAAAACAATTATATATGTATATGTATATCGAGATATTTGTACACATTTCCTTTACGTATGGATTTAACTCGTTATTTTTTTTACCATGCACTAATGTGACTGTTTCAACAAAATTATATTGAGAATTATATTGAGATGTTTGTTTGTTTTATGGATACAGAGGAAGATTGTATAATAACATGTTGAGATAAAGAAAGAAATTTTATGACTTCCTGCACACATAAAGCTCATCGCAATATATTCTCCGCATCCTTTATGCCGCAGGTGTTGTGAGTGTATCTGACCTGTGCATTTTTTATTAGTCATTTGAGATATTACCACTGTTCCAAGACCTAGCAAGCACATGAATCACCTCTACCATTGCTTCTTTGATCGTTGGTCAATTTGATTTGATCCGGGAATTCATTGTAAAGTTCGACCTAAAATTCACAAGGATATAGATAAAAGAGATAGACATGAATGGATAGAGAAAAAACTCTACGCCTCTAATATACTCACTTCACTTTCTTGAGCTAAAGCATTCTTAGCTATCGTTTGGAAAGCTTGCTCGACATTAATAGCCTCTTTTGCACTAGTTTCAAAATATGGAATATTATTCTTTGATTGACACCACTGTTGCGCTCTCTTGCTTGAGACCTAAAACAAAAGATACAGAAAAAATGTAGGAAATAATAAAAACATAAATTGTAATTATTAAATTAAGTGAAAGTATTAGATTTTAAATAGTACTTATATTTGCACGTTCATTAAATTGTACAAAACCACTTAAAATTCTTTTGAAGATTTAAAAGTTATTTTACTCACTGCTCTTGATTCAAGATCTACTTTGTTCCCGAGCACGACAAACGGAAAGTTGTCTGGATCTCGAGGTGAGGCTTGAATTAAAAATTCATCCCTCCATGAATCTAGAGATTTGAAGCTAGTTGGAGCTGATACATCAAATACCAATACACAACAGTCTGCGCCTCTATAAAAAGCCACTCCTAACGATTGAAACCTCTCCTGTCCAGCAGTATCCCAAATCTAAGACAAAAATATTTTCCGTTAGAAATACAAGATACTGACGATTTGTTAAAATAACGAAATTAAGCACGAGGATTACCTGCATAGTGACTATTCTATCCTCTACCATCACTTCCTTAGTCAAAAAATCTGCCCCTATTGTTGCTTTATATTGGTTGCTAAACTTCTTATTGACATATTGATTCATTAAAGAAGTTTTCCCAACTCCTGAATCCCCAAGGATAATTACTTTCAGCAAAACTTTCTTGCGGGATGCCATACTTGCTAAAAAAATATAAAACCATATTAGAAATTAATTCTTGCGAGAATAAGTGCTTGGAGCAAAAGTCAGTGTACAATTTAAAAATAGGAATCATACTATGACTAATGCATAACTTCCTTATCACATCAAGTAGAATAATTAGAGTATTATTCTAATATGATTCTTCTTTTATATAAAAATGTGACGATTTATGATCAAATATGGAAGAAATTTTTTAGTGACTGTTATTTCACAAAAATTATCAACATGAATCTTCAAATTCTTGTCTATGAAAGAAAGTTAAGTTGAAATATTAAAGATCCTACATAAAAATTTAATTATATATGTAACAAATACAAGCAAGCTATATAATTTATGTTTTAATATTCTGTTTTTGTATAAATACATAATAAAGATTACAGGTATCTCCATAAATTTTTTAGAAAATTAAGATTGGAGTAATTTAAATAGCAAAAATGTAATATTAAGTAGTTTTATAAGTAAAGCTGAAATTAAAAAATTTTATTGTTCCAAATCAAGAAAAATAATATTCTACAAGTTATATTTGTAAAAATTAAATTTGCTACAATTTTATAACATTCAGTTTATAATTTAGAGAATATTACTGCTTTGACATTAAAATGCACGTAGCCTTTAAAAGTTTTATCAAGTTACAAAGCAACAATTTTTCAAACAATGAAGGATAAGCACCAGGTGTTTCCTGAATTGTAAATATTGGAAAGAGATTAGTTTCTAATATTACATTCTACTCACGCTCTTTCAACTATTTACATAAATTTATCATGTACACCGAATCAAAAGTCACCAATTATTACTGCACGAAAGCTTAGAGTTCGAATGTCCGGAAGGAATGTTCAATTAAATGAATCATCTAACAACGTTAATGAGGGAAAGATTCCGAGTGGCAATGACGTATGTACAACGCGCTCACCAAAAAAAAAAGAACGACAGAGCGAGAGAGAAAACGAGCGGGCTTTCTTCGCGAGAACGTTCGAGCGCGAGGTATCTGGCGGTCACCAGTGATCGACACTCCCGAGATCCGCGGCTTCGAGGACGACGAGAAGGTAGCGCGAGCGAAATGCGTCGCGATGCGAGCGGAATCCGCTCCACCGTACGTTCAACGCCTCCAACGAAATCTGTTACACGCAGGGGGCCTCAGGACACTCGGGTTCACTCGGGATACTCGGAACTCGGCGCGAGCGTGTCCACGGATGGGCGGACGCAATCCACGTCGGAGACACCGCGCACGTCGTCCGCGCGAGACGCGAATTTCGGGGAAACGTCGGGGCGAGGCGGGCACGTTACCTGGGGAATTCGTTAGGGAACACGGCCTGTGAAAACACCTCCGCGCTCCAGCGCTTCACACAAAGAAAATGGCGTGTTATGAAATCACGAGTATGACAACGATGTCGTCACCTGTTCGCCTCGCCTCCCTTATCGACCGAGTGCAATCGAGTGCATTATTTCCGACGGCAGCGGCGTGGGTCCTCGGACTTTCGAGAGGTCGATACGAGAGGTTCACGCGATATATCGATTACTCGCGTAAATGTGGAGGCGCGCGCGTCGACCTCCGCGATTGGTCGCTGCTTCCGCGCGCGCACGGTCGAGCCGACCTATCGCGATTGGTCGAGATTTAGAAGCACGACATGTGACGATGTGACATTTGAATTTGTAGCTCATTTCGGTTCATCCCTTTTTTGTATCGTATAATGGCCGCAGCACAGGCTCTTGCATAACGCATAATGCATAGTGCATAAGGGAATCGATCAATCGAAATTCTTCTTTTCCATGGAATGGGAGGAAAGGAAAGATTCTGGTTAGTTGATTCGCTTCCCTGACGAAAATGAGAAGTTTCATAAACGTTTGTTTAACGTTTATATAAGCGTTTGCAGGAATTCGTTGAGAATTCTGAAACGGTCAGTATAGAGTGTTTATAAAGCGGAAATTGCAACGCTGCAACGTTTGGAAGGCATTTTCTGACACAAAATAAGAAGTTTTATGAATGTTTGTTTAACGTTTACATGAGCTTTTGCAGGAATTCGTTGAGAATTCAGAAACGGTCAGTAGAGTGTTCGTAAAACAGAAATTGCAACGCTGCAGTTTGGAAGGCATTCTTTGAAAACAAGAAGTTTCATAAACGTTTAGTTCAAGTGTTGAGCGTGCTGAACGCAGACACTTTATAAAAAAAAAGGTACAAAATTTTTCATTGAGAAGTCTCGTCATACTGCGCTTTTATCCTATTTGATGTGGTTTTTAAATGCGAGAAATTGAATTTCATTATGTCCCTCTGGTAGCGATGTCGTGCACTGCTTGAAAATTGGATATGTAGAAGAATGTTTGTTAAACGGAGGAAAAACGCTTGTGTTACGGGGTTGACAAAAGCGTTTGATAAATGTTTGAAAAGTCTGACAGTGAACTCTCTGCACGAAAGTGCATCAGCGTTTATTGAGCGCCCTCTGAAAAGCGTTGCTTTAACATTACAGACCTTTCATGAAACGATATATACTGTATTTTATAAACGTTCTGAAAATATTTAAACCTAATAGTGTTCTGTAAGCGTTCTTATAAAGTTTGAAAACGTAAAAATTCTCAAAAAATCGTCATTGAACGGTTTATAAAATTTCTTATTTTCGTCAGGGTTATGCACTATGCGTTATTCGTTATGTCTGTACTGCGGTCTTAACGGACATAACGCATGCGATGATAATAACGTAAGTTATAAATGTCATAATATGCCATAATATGTCGACGTGTTTCCTTAATTTTACGTATTCTGTTAGGAAAAAAATGACGAGGAAAATTAGTCTTTCATTATCATCGGGGGAAAGCAGAATAATAAAAAATTGTGTTAAAAAATAGAATTATACAGAGAAGAAAATTTGTTCGGACTCGAAAGTTTTATTTACACAGAGAAAAAAATTTGTTTGGAGTCTCGAGAGTTCGATCTATTTTATTTCATTGAAACAAATTTAATTTTAAATGAAACATATTTTGTTTAAAAAATAATTTAATTCTAGTGCAATTACATTATTTATTAATTTAAATATTTATTTGGTTCGACTATTCCAATGCATTTTGTTTAATTTAAACCTTTTCTTTGTGTACGTAAATGAAAGTTAATCCTGCATGCTTTCCTGCTGCGAATTGCTTGCGTTTCAGTAAATTACTAGTAATTTCGCGATTCTATAGTAATTACTTTACTAAAATACAAGCAAATCTAAAATACAACATGATTTTAATTAAATGAGAGAAAGAAAGGAAAGAGAATTCATTTTCTCGCGAGATTAACACAGAAAAAAATGTGTTTTTTGATCGATGACTAAAAAAGAATCGATTTCTCCATACAGATTGCGGTTCACATAAATATGCATAGCGCATACAAATCTGAGTGCTCATCGCTCTGACATTTCGAGAATAAAATCTATTTTTAATCATTATCCTTGACATATCTCGTGAGCGTGAAAAAAAACGCTATGTGGAATATGTTGCAGAATTTTAAGGTTTTGCAGACAAATTAATCGCGATCAGTTAATTCAGTCTACAAAGTGTCGCAAACATTCAACAGGATGTCTCCAAAATAGATCGCCATTTGGCAACCAGTCTCCTGCAATTTTTGTAGACAAGGACAGATGGATCATCATAAGATTATACATCGTACTCAAGCACAACGAAGTACGCAATAACGAAATATTCGAGAATTTACGATAAAATAATAATCGATCTATTGTCTATCCAAACGTCGCAGAAACCGCGAATGCATAAAGAAAATCTTTATATAACTTTCACTCCAAAATTCTTTTTTTCCAAAATTTATTTCTTGTGAATATTCATTAAGGATAGTTCGTTTAAACGGTTTTAATTACTTTTTATAATTTTTTTTCTAAGATTTAAAAGAGACAAACGCGGTCCCTTAGCTACGCCCATGATATATATATTTATACTCAGACAGCACAGAATATTTATGAAATATATTTATTATTATTTATTTTTAAAATGTTATATAAATATTTTATACATATTTTTATAAAGCTTTATTCGAAATATTATTAAAATATGGACTAAATATTTTTTTTATGTAACGTTTATGATAAATACAGTCTGAAATCACCAAAATATTTAAATAAATCTTATAAATATTTCTAAATATTTATAAACATTTTGTATATCTATATATATAAAAATGAATGTATATGTATGTCTGTTACCTATATGCATTGCTACACCATTGATCCGATCGCCATGAAACTTTGGGAAGTTGTTCATTGTAAGCCGGGCCAGGTTTCTAGCCATAGATTTTATCGTAACGAGTTTATTTGAATTTTTTTTCTTCTGAGATCGCAGCAACGCGCGACGGGTAAGCTAGTATTTTATAAATATTGTGTGTTGTCTGGGTATGGCTATGCATTTTGTCTGGATAAATCCTGAACCATTAAAATGACATTCGATTATTAAAAGTAGTCACTTAATTTTGATCAGCTATGATTTATTTTGACGTTAAAATGGTGCTACGGTGATCTATAATTTTGCTTAGGTAAGAGAATCGTATATTATTTATTATCGTAGATCCTCGAATATTTCGATATCGCGTATTTCGTCAGAAACTTCTTGTAAGCAAAATTTTGCAAGAATTCGTAGAAATGAAATCCTACATGTTTGATTCAGCGTTTGATAAAGCATTCCGAAGAGCGGTAAATATATTTTAAATCACTTAATATAATGTCACTTAATATAATGATTTTTAATTAGTTACGTAAAGACATGCGCGTGTGAAATGCGACATGAAACGATCAAAACCGCAATGCTGATAACATTATTCAATATTGCCAAAGACGCAGTAGGAAAAGTTACAGTGATGTTTCGCAGTTTCCTCGACGTCTTATGCGAATTTAATAAATAATACAGAGTTTTTGCAATAACGTGGATTCATGTACGGTGAATGCTAAAGTCACGTTATTATTTTCTTAATTATTTAGTTGTTAAGAAGAAGATAACGTGTCTTTAGCGTTCACCGTATCTGTGTACAAACGGTATTGCAAAAATTCCTTAATATATCTGATTTCGTTGCCGTTAAACTTAACCGTAATTAAGTTACAAAATTGACATTTAATTAACAGAAATCACAGAAATATCTTGGCGAATCCGAGCTGCCGCGATAAACCGTCTATTATAGCATCCTGCCTATCTCCCATCCTTTATTTAACTTAATCAAGTTGACTTAATCGAACTCGAAATGTATAAGTTGAGAAGCGAATTGTCGGAGTATAAGCCGGGTGAAAGTAGGTCTCGTAATCTATTCGAGAGAGACCGAAAATCTCGTTAGCTCCTTGCCTACTTTTACAACGTTAATCATTACTTATATTTTATCAAAATATCATTGCATTAACAAAGAAAATAGAAAAAAGAAAAATCGCAGAAGAAAGCGCATCCTGAACGAGTGGTGACCGTCGTCCGCAGAATCGTTAAGCGAAAATAAAAATTCAAAGTTAAGACAGGATGGACTTTTAATCGCTAGTTTCGTCACTCTATACTTAAAAAAAATTAAGTTTTTCTTAAATAAAAATGAAAAATAAAAGTTGTAATTGAAAAACGGCGCTTATTTATTTTTTATTTGTTCGCTTGACATAATATAATTAATTCTAAATATTGTTATAATTTTTAATATTAATGTAATATTAAAAGTTATAATTAATTTATCAATAAATGTTGTTAGTAATAACAGATAATAAATTATATGTAAATTCATCAGTAAATTAATAATTCTGAGAGGAAAAATAGGAAAACGGAGGAGGGAGACGAGTGCGACATACGATTGAATTAAATAAGTATTAATTTAATCACATATAATTACAATCACACATATTTGGGATACATACTGCCAGGTTCTACTACGGAATAATTTGTCATATTCTGAGAAAGAGCAACTTAAGTCAACTTAACTAAAAAAAAGTACGCCATTACCGATTATCAGTGGAAAATATATCATTGAAAAGTTTAAACTTCTCAAACGCTTCTGTGCGAAATATAATAGAATAATCACGAAACAATATACACCAAAAAAATGACTTAATTTTTTAATATGTTTATCTTAACTTTTAATATATTTATTTTTCTTCGTGAGACATTCATTATATTTTTTGTCAAGAGTCTTCTTAGGTATTTAATATACACTTTGCAAAATTGTTCTGTTTCTTTATAGATTCTCGTAGGTAAACTATACGTTCGAGGGTTGCGCAGCTAAAAGAATATAGAGAAAGTTAACAAAAGAGTCGGGGTGGATTACGATCATAAGATTACAAATCGGACGTAGAATGAGTGCGTTTGGAAAGCTTTCATCGTGCTCGTAGTTTGCAGAGACGCGGCCTGAATTTATATACAATTAACTTAATCTGGATTAAAAATGGGATCGGATCACGTTAGGTGGTGAGCGAAATCGCGGTATGGCCTCGT